CTCCAATTTTAGTTTAGTCTTACTTAAACACATCCCTGGCTCAAGCGAAGATAAGAATTCAAGAACAGGAAGAGCTGCATTTATTTATTTTTACAGAAGTAGTATTTAAAAACTGGGCTCCCCCGGCAGCTCAGCTGGTAAAGAGTCTGCCTGCAGTGCAGAGACCCCGGTCTGAGTCCTGGGTCGGGAAGGTCCCCTGGAGAGGGGACAGGCCACCCACCCCCGTATTCTAGGGCTCCCCTGCTGGCTCAGACAGTCAAGAATCCACCTGCAAGACCCAGAGGGATCAGGTGGAGAGGGAGGTGGGAGGGGGGACCGGGATGGGGAATACATGTAAATCCATGGCTAGTTCATTTCAATGTATGACAAAAACCACTGCAATGATGTAAAGTAATTAGCCTCCAACTAATAAAAATAAATGGAAAAAAAAAAAAAAAAGAATCCACCTGCAACACGGGAGACCTAGGCTGGGGAGGTCCCCTGGAGGAGGGCATGGCAACCCACGCCAGGATTCTTGCCTGGAGAATCCCATGGACAGAGGAGCCTGGCGGGCTACAGTCCATGGGGTCGCAAAGAGCCAGACACAACTGAGTGACTAAGCACAGCACAGCACAGTATTTAAAAAAAGAAAACTTCAAACAGTACAATTTTGAAAAGTCTGGCTTCTAACACCACCACCAAGAGAAAACTAAAGTCTGAGATAACCTTCAAGATAGAAACCATGCACATCCAAATATACAGATACACACACAGTTGGCGACCTCATTTACTTAACATAAACAATAGCACTATACTTGCAGTAATAGCTCTGCATCATGGTTCCTCCGCCCATTCAATAGATTATAAGCCTTCTTTTAGGTCCACGTAAATAGATCTACCACACTCTGATAGTCTTGGGATAAATGTATTCATTTATTATATTTAACCATTCCCTACGAATGGCCATATGAGGCTACTTCCTGCTTTTCCCTGTTACAGACTTTGTAGCTATGACCATCTTAGTCCTAATGCCTCAACACTGAGTAAGTCATCTTTTATTAATACAAGTCACAGAAGAGAAAAGAAAAGAAAGCAACAGAATAGATAGAACAGAAAAGAACTGCTTTCCCAACTCAGGACCTTTGCACAAGCTGCTCCCTCTGCTGGTAAGTACTTGCCCTGTTCTGTTCATCTTCACCCTGAGCTTAAATGACTTATCCCTTGGTGCACCATCAGCACGCCAACCCAAACAAGATACTCTGTGCTCTCGTGATACATGCTACTTTCATCTGCGCATTCGTGGCACTTTTTGATGACACTCCATTCAACCAAGCTCCACATGGGCAATGCAGTTGTTTACCTGCAGGGCTGGCCGAACGCAGTGCCTGTTGTCAAGGGGTCAGACTACACCTGTCTCACAGACAGAAACTGCTGGCTTTATTGGCTATGCTCTAGAGAAGATGAACTGATCCACCACACAATCACAAGTCCTAAAATTATCAAGAACAAAACAGACAATTTACTTACAATGAGAACGTCCAACGCAGGTGGGCTGTGGGCAAACAGACCCCTCAGGCCTTGTTGGCAGAGGCCTAAACGGGTACCGTCTTCTTGGGGGGGACCTGGCCACACACATTACCAGGCAATTCCACTTTGAGGACTATGGCTCACAAAAATAACCAGACATACAACGACGTTCTTCACCACCTATTTTATAACAGGAAAAACTGCAAGTAACCCAAAAATCAAGCTTCTGTTGTTGAAAAACTAAACTGGCATGCTCACACAACGGAGCACTCTGCTGCCGTTGGAAACGCCTTAGAGGCACGCTGAATATGAGTCCTCCATGGAATTTTAAGTAAATCGCATGAACACATCATAATAAGCACTTCAGTGGGAAAAAAAACAAACAGCAGTTATTGTACAATATCACCACATTTTTGTGAAACAGACAGGTGTGCGTGCTTACTTACATAGGCCCTGACATCCACAAAAATGTTTACAGTGACTACCTACAAGTGGGAAATTTATTTCGTTTTTTGAAGTTAAAAATTGTTGTAATTCATAGGCATTCCTTGTTAGGAACAAAAAATTAAACTTATCTTTTAAAAATGTCTTTCTTCCCCTGCTGCCCACTGTCTGGAGGGCCTGGCAGACCAGCAACAGCTCCACTGGGTGGAAAGACAAGTGTCTCACTCACAGCTTCAAAGAAAACGTACTTCCTTAAGCACTGTTCGGGCCAGTAACGACGTTGCACCATTACTTCCTAAGGGAACTGTCTCTACTTCAAATCACACAGAACTAGAAAAGGGGTCAGGAGGAGGAAACAAGGGGACAAAAGATGCCCATGACTCCTAAACAAGCTGCTCACAGAAGTCAGAGCAGACGAGGAGAGGGCATCCGCCACTCCAGCCTCTGCCCTCAGGCCTGAGGCAACCAACTGCTCCAGCGGGCAATGGGTCACTCTAAGGCTCTGACAGGCACCTTCCCTTTGCAGCAATATGGTGAGTTCAAACTTCCAAGGAGGATTCAAAGGCCGAAAACTGCCTAGGAAACACTGACAATATTTAGAACCTGTGATTCCCAAACTCTGACTGTTTGAATTACTCTTGAGAGCTCATTAAAAAGAAAAAAATAAAAAATAAAAAGTCAGACTTCCCTGGCAGTTCAGTGGTTAAGACTCTGTGCTCCCAATGCAGGCAGCATGTGTTCAATTCCTGGTTAGGGAACTAAGATCCCACATGCCATGTGGCAAGGCCAGGAAAAAAAAAGAAAAAAAAAAAGCCAGACTCATGGGTCTTAGCCTACTGCATTAGAATCTAGAATTGTGTGGGTTAGGCCAAGGAATTTTTTAAGTTCTCAAGTGATTCCAAAGCAGACGACCCACATACCAGTGTTCAGTAATCGTTTAACAACTGCTGGCTAGAAGGAACCAAGAAATACCTACTCCATCTGATTCCAATTAGATTAGCACCAAAGTCAACTCAACAAATGCAAAGCCTCCAAAAATGACTCCAATTTCACCACCTTCAGTGCTTTAACAAATTTCACCACTAAGGACTTCATCCTTTCACTTCAATAAATCCTAAGTTATAGTCCATTCCTTTCTATTTGGTCCTCAGTGAACTCTAAAAATAGAACATCTCTGTTAAAATGTGTGATTGCACTCAAGATGGAAATGCACTGAAACAAAAGAAAAACAAAACCTTCCCATGCAGCTAGCCATGAAGCCACAGAGCACTGCCCTGAGCTGGGTGACCCTAGGGGACGGTTGGGCACAACAAACCTCTGCAAGCATCCTGCCAAAGGTCCCCAAACTTCATACCTATCATCACCCATTTGGCCCAACGTTCTGTGCAAGATCTTCTGATTGTTTGAGAACTTGTTTCTCTAGCAAGAAAAGTCAGATGCTTCCAAGGGACACGTTCAGGAGGCATTTCATGCTGTGATAAACAGAACCATGAAATCACGTTTTCTACTCAGTGGGCTCTCCTGGATGTCTAGGGATCCGACTGCTTTATCAGAGCCAGTCACTAATACTTTGGCCGCTCAATAGCATGGAGTCCTTTTAGTGATGACTTTGTGATGTTCTAAGACCTATATTCCTATTTAGTCACAACATCCTCTATCTATCTTGATCATTTTAAAACACAGCCCCCAGGGGAACGCCCTGGGGGTCCAGTGGACAGGGCTCCGCAGTGTCACTGCCAAGGGCCTGGGCTGGATCCCTGGTTGGGGAACAGTCCCACAAGCTGCACACTGTAGCCAAAAATAAAAAAAATAAGCCCCAGATTCTTTGATACTCCTCTCATCCACAATTGGGGTTTCTCAACATTGTGAACGTACCAACAGTCACTGACCTGTATACTTACAACAGTTAAAACTACGAAATTATGTGAATTTTACATACATACATACATACATACATACATAAATAAATAAAAGTGAGCTCCTGTAGCCCCTTCTTGAGTCTGGGCTCACGCCTGTTTGACCTACAGGATATGGCAGAAGTAGTGCTGGGCTGAATTCTGGGCCGGGGCCCTGAGACACTGGCGGTGGCTTCCACCTCCTGTCTTCTAGAACGCTCCCTCCTGGGACCGAACCACCATACCGTGAGGGTGTGTAGAGTCTCTGCTCAGGCCAACCAAGAGGGGAACCGAGGTCGTGGGACCAAGGCCCCCTCTTTGACCGCAGGCGACAGAGTAGCCAGCGCCACCTCAGAAGAGACCCTCCAGGTCCGCGGCACTGCCTCGGCGTGAGCTGTGTGCAGCGGACATGAGGTCTCCGTGCCACGCTCTCCCTGGACCACAGGCCTGTGAGCAGGATAAAGGCCTGGAGGTATTTAAGCCACGAAGTCTTGGACAGTTCGTTAAGCAGAAATGGTTAACAGGCATTTCAAGATAATACAGAAAACGTCTGATCAAAATGGCTTCAGAAAATCCCCTAACCTGGTACCATAAATCACAGATTCCGACAAGAATTAATGTTCAGCATGGAAGAGGTCATCCACACGTGCTCTTCACCACTCAAGTGAGTCACAATCTTTCTAACATGTTCACTCAGAACTACGCCACTGAGTACACAAGGCGGCACCTGACTTTCCTGCTAGAATTTTTGAGGGGAATGGGAGGCGAGAAAGGCAAGAAACCTCCAGGGTACCAAACTTGTACGTTACCTAACAATGAATATTAAGCGCAGCTCTCAACGCACCCTCTTAGGAAGCCCAGCCTGAAGCCGTGTCTCCCCGCGCCCTCCCGCGCCCCTCCCCGCGCGCCCTCCCCCGCGCCCCTCCCCGCGCCCTCCCGCGCCCTCCCCGCGCGCCCTCCCCCGCGCCCTCCCGCGCCCTCCCCCGCGCCCTCCCCGCGCGCCCTCCCGCCCTCCCCGCGCGCCCTCCCGCGCGCGCCCTCCCCGCGCGCCCTCCCCTCCTGCGCCCTCCCCGCGCCCTCCCCGCGCGCCCTCCCCTCCTGCGCCCTCCCCACGCGCCCTCCCGCGCCGGGGCCCCAGCTCGGCCGGCGCCTCACCTCCAGCCTCTCGGCGGGGGGCTCACTCTGCAGGATCCTCAGGGCTTTCGCAGCAGCGTCGTGCTTCGCAGCCTGTCTCGTCTTTCCCTTCCCATTAAATTGCTGTCCTCCCACAGAAAGTTCAACTTGGTAAAGTAAAGGTGGGACTGGAAATGGGTAAAAGTACCTAAAAATAGAAGGGGTGAGGAAAATTAGTCTCAGATAAGTCACCATACCGTCTCTGACAGATTCCAGGTACTTCCTTCATCACAGGTCCTAATTACAGCAGCGTTCGCTTGCCAATAATGAGTCCTCCTCAGCACACCCAGAGATTTCATGTTTATGCTAGATTAGAATTGCCACACAGTATGAGCAAATACTGTTTACATTTCACAAAATAAGCTGGCTTACAAATTACATGAGTTCAATTTATAAAGCTAACCCATACTTACAAAATCTGAACTGGATTAGACTTTGATTAAGAAAAAAAACTTGACTTGCTCTACTTTCTCGTACCTGAAATTCACCCTTTCATGTCTCCAGAAAAGAATGGAAATATTTCAACCAAAGTCTTGTAGAAAGGACCCTCATTTCTAGAAATCCCAACAGCCTGGAGACTGGCAGAGGCTGGTTTCTATTTTTAAAATGGCTTTGGCCTCCACCTCACTCCCACCCCAAAGTAGGGTAGGGAAGTAAAGACCTCCAATTTGATCATCAGTCTCTCCACTAGTGTCTTTAGACCTCGAGCAGAAGGTTTTAAATGCATGGCACCTTCATATTTCAATTAATATTGCACTGCACCTGTATACCAAGGCCATTTACAAAGCACATAAGTTAAGTTCAAAAGTCAAAAAGTACCCAGTAAACAATAATCAAGACATCTATGAGGGCTGAGAATTGTGGTGTCACAGGAATCATGTTCAAATATGACTCAGTTGCACAAAGCAGTTACACGGGTGATCTTTAACCAGACTGCTCGGGGCACAAGCTATACTGCTTGTGAGGAATGTGCCGAAGACCTTTCCAATGAGAGGAGTCAGAAGAGCATCAAAATGCAGCTCCAGTGACACCAGGACGATGCAGACCGACGGCAGCCTTTGGCAGGCCAGAGAGGACCAGACCATTATGCACTCTGCAATCTATACATCTTACTATTCTACATCAAAGAGCAAATATATTTTCACCTGGATCTAAAACAACACAGACACGTACCTTGGGGGATAAGCACCTCCTCTCATGTTGTAGTTATAGGTGGACTGCATCCGAGAGTAAGGGTCGACAGGCTTATACATTGGTTTTTTCCCAAGTTTCATGCACAGTGCATTTAGCTCTACAGTAGGGGTTATGCTTTCTGCAACACAGAATCAAAACAAAGAACTTTTTTTCCTGTTATGAGAATGACACTCACTAAAATCAAATAGAACAGCATGCTTTCTACTAATTGGACTCATGATGCATTTCAGGAACGGCTCTAAGTACTTCACTGCTAGGCATCAGGTCAGGAAATCCAAGAATCTGCTATGATTTCTAGGTATTAATACACAATCAACAGCACAAAATATACAGTAAGGGCTATTGAGGAGCAGCAACGTAACACAAGACGTTAGCAGTGAGAGTCAGCTGTCAGAAACAGGTTCCAATACACGTCAAATTTCACGATTAAAAGATCCCACAGGACTGCCCAACTCATTTCATTGTTTGGCAATACTCAACCAATATAACTTTGGTTGTACTGACTGACTGGCTTACACTTAAAAGGATGTCCATACACATTATTTCATAGGACAATTCATTTATTCAGTACTAACTGGAGGCAAAGCACTGTGCTAAGCTTGAGAAACACAATTCTTGTCCCAGAGGGGTCCAGAGAACACAAGACACACTTCAAAAACTACGATACAACATTATATGTGCTGTAAGGAAAGGTGCAAAATCGCCGAGAAGACTGTAAATTCTATCTGGAGAAGTCAGATGAGACCCACAAAATACTTAGATGTCTTCATTCTTAAATATTTATAATGGGATTTGATTTGTGATACTTGTTAGAAAAATGAGTTCTGTTTCCATATACAACAGGAACAAGTTTATCTCAGGTTATCTCAGAATTATCAACTTTAGAAAATACTCATCATTCATCCTTCTCTTTTTTCCCAAGTTCATCCAATTCATAAACCTTTAAAAATCATTTAAAAAGAAAACCAACCTGGAAAGATTAGTGTCAGTGCACAGTCACATTTAAAGTCAACAGCTTCATATCAAACACAGAACAACACTAGCAATGGCAAAGTTCAATTGAAATGCACACAAAAATTCACTTGAAAATGCTTCTTTAGGATGTAGGTAGAGGAAAATAAAAATGACTTGATTCTGTACCATAACTGGTTTGACTAATCTAGTGCATAAATCAAGCTTACAAGAATATCTTTGAGTCTGCAAAGTCAGAGGGTCACATGAGTAATTAGCCTTTTTTTTTTCTTTCTTAGCTAACATATGAGGTATATTTTTTACACAATTCAAATAGTTGTGTTTTAAGTAAGAGCAACTCTGACCCATAAAATTTATCTGCAGCAGAGGGTAAACGTGAAGCAAAGATCCCACAGAGAAAGCGAAAGGACGAGAAAGGCGTGGCCGAGGCCTTCCTGGTCGCTCCTGCGTGCGAAGGGCCCGGCTGACTTCATACACTTGAGGGCGGACTCTCCTACAACAGCCACTTCTACCTACAGCTGCCAGGTCTGTGGTCCCCACGCTTTCACAGGACACTCCTCTTCAACAGTATTCTCCCCAACTGGCCCTTGCCTGAAGAGATACCTATCTATTAATCTGAATTTAAGAAATAAATATCTAAATTATTTTCTCATTCTTGTTAATCATCAAGAGACATAACTGACAATCTGGGTTACGATCAACATGTTATAATCAATATTACCACACAAAGTTGAAGTGATTTTAGCTAAAACCCACCTTCTTACAATCTATACAACCCTTATCAAAAGGAAAAAAAAAAAAATTCCTTTCATTAAGCTTTTCTGAAAGTCTCCAAAATCGTTTGGTGACATGCCCCACCTCCCGTGACCACCTCTCCAGATCATCAGGCATAGAGGGTCTGTAGATTGGGAACCACTGTTTCAGAGTGCGGTTAAGATTCCGAAAAGATAAGCATTTGCCACTGGTAGTGCAGACTCTGTGCTTTCAAAATCAACGAGTTAGTTAAGAAAGAATTCATACACATACTAAACGGATACCTCTAGACACACTTTTGAAAGGAACCTGTCTTGGCCCACGCATAATACCTGGATTTCTTCCTTCGCTACGAAAAGGGCGGACTATAGGTTTAGGAAATTTTGTTCCTTCCAAAGCTTTGGCAGCAGCTGTGTGTTGGGCTTTTTTAATACTAGTTCCTTCAGCTTCCCAGTGCTGATCGCCAAGTGTGAGCTGCACTGTAAACACCTACAAATGAAAATCGTGAGCTCTCAATTCAGGAAACCTGATGTTGGCTACAATATGTCACTCGGACCTTGAACATAACTTATGGTCATGGTTTAAAAGGCCTGGTCATTATCTTTGTAATTTATCCCTTCATCCCCCTTTTCACTGTTTCTAGAAACATGAAAAGATACATACATCACCGACTTGTATTGCATAGCACTCCATGAAAAAAGTATCTTTTGAAAGATGGGTACAAGTACAGAAATTTAAAACTGTTCTCTTATATATTAAAATATTAAATGTTGATTATCTGGAAGCTATCCAAATAAAAATTGTCTTCCCATTTCTTCTCATGGAAGAAATTTAGCAAGCTTAATTTAGACACATAATAGTACCTCAGACAAACGAAGACAGCGTTTGTTGTAATTTTGTTCATTGATTCTTGTCTAAAAATACAACCCCAGCAGGCCAAAACCTCAAGTGAATTTGGGAATGTCATTCAGGTTTTACAAGGATACCTTTTACTTTCCTAAGACTGTACTATTCAGACACTGCCCCTCCTTTCAGAAGCTGAGATTCACTGCAAGCAAAGACCTAACAACATTTCTGAACTCAATTCTAAGGAGGCATTCAAAAGAGCTAATTTTGCCCTTAACAACTGCAGACAATGACAACCCTCTTTTTTCCTTTTTAAGTATAAAGGGAACTTGTGCGAGCACTCTATTTGTAAAGTTAGGTTATGTTAATCCCATCAGATGGACAAATAATTCATCCAAAAAGCACTAGGACCCACCACAGTGCAGTGATTCTTTAACACTCGTGTGCATCTGAAGAGTAACCCAGGAAGCCTGGTAAGACACACGTGCCAGGGGTTCCGCCTGAGAAGAACAGCATGAGGGGAGGCCTGAGCCTGTGTGTTTTTAATAAGCTCCCAAAGTCACTCTGACGCACTTCAATGTTTGAGGTTCATCACTTTGGAACTTGTATTCTTCTGATTTTCTTGATCACGGAATCACTTTATTTCACTTACAAATAATTCACGTGAGAAATGGTGATTTGAGTATGTCCAGGTCATTTAAATTTGGTGCCTCAAGGGATGAGGCTAACTTGCCTTTAGAGCTGATTTTTCTTGTAGGTCTTAACTTTAGGATTCCCTCAGTGCACAGCTTCCACTAAAGGGCGAAAAATTAAAGAATCCTTCACCCCCCTTGAAATATTAGGGGTCTCCTGTATTTATGTTGCAGTTCATAAAGTTACTCATTTAAGCACCAACAGCATGAACTCAAAACCCTGGCTGGCACGAGAAGTCACACAGCGGAAGCAGCCTGCAACGCTGTGTGATCCCTCCGTCATTTGCGTGACCCTTTCAGGGGAAGACAGGGAAGGGGGGCAGCACTGTAAGACAGAAGAGAGTCATTCACGGTCCGTCTCGCCGTTCTTCAGGGCTGTCCCCCGGCGCTGCTGCCACGCTGTGCCTTCTGGGTGGAGGGCGGTGGTGAGGTGAGACCTCGGTTCAGACAGAATTAAAAGGACACCAGACCTCTGGCTTTTTAAACAGTCTAATAATCATCGAGGAGGGAATAAATTTTTCTCTTTGAACAACTTGTAGGCAAAAAAAAAAAAAATGCAGCTACAGACTGAACACACAGCCAAATTACCTAAAAGGTACTAAAGTTCAAGTGAGAAAGTACATACTTCCAAAAATACAAAAACAGTTAATAAAGGGAATCCCAAAGTTAAGATCTGCAAAAAAAACCCTGTAGAAGAAACAGAACAGTTACCAAAAAATTGGCTAATTGCCTTCTAAAAGTAAAGAAATATTTCAAATATAATTATGCTTTAGAATAATATTAAAACTACCTTCATGAGAGTGGGAAATTTGTTTTTCTTAAATGTATAATTGCTTAATTGTAAAAGCTACCATTTCTCAAGCATTTACTATGTGCCATACACTGTACTCCACACTTTGATATATATTCTCACAAAACACCTATTTGGTAGGTATTACTATCTCCATTTCACAGATGAGGAAACGGAGTTTCAAAAAAAGTAGTAACCTGCACAAGGTCACCAAGTTAGTAAAAAGTTAAGATTCAAACCCAGATCTGTCTGACTCCAAAGACAACTAGCCAAAACGCACCACCCTATGGGGACTGTTCATGATTGTGGTCAATGCTACTTTTTAGTCCAAGAAAAAAGAGAAACTTGGTATCATTCAAGGTTTGAGGTTTGCACCTCAGGAAAACTGAGGCACAAAGAGACAAACAACTCATCCTTATAACACTGTATTATCTTACTTCAAGGCTAGAATCAGAAATAATTCTTTATAAGAAATAATTCCTTATCTCTCATACTGTAGCTGCAAAAGATAAAGCCAGATACGCAAACATTCAGGGTCCAAGAGGTACCTTAGCACAGATATCAAGCAAACTTAAAAGACTGAACTCCTGAATAACAGATAGTAAAAATTCAAATTACAGTCAGTCTTTCATCGTCTAAGATGAGAGTGACAAGGGTACCTGAAATCAGAGATAATTCCATGTACTCACGGGGAGATTAATTTCTACCTCGCACATTCAAACCCTGTATCTGATTCTGAACAAGAGGCAACACTGATTTCCCATTCACCTCCTCTCCCTGACCAGACCTATGGTACCTATGCACGTGCAAACAAACAGGAAAGAGCCAGACAGAGGCTGCAACCAGGAGGCCCAGACCCTGGGAAACTCATAGGACACCATTCGCAGGTGCTTAGGACTTGCCTTGACTCAGAATCCTAAACAACCACACACTAACTCAAGTTTTAAAAGCCAAATATCCCCCAGAGGAGCATCTCTTTCGTTTGACCCACTCTGCAAGGATGGAAAAAAGAAGTGACTCGCCCAAAATCTGTACTTCTGCATCTCTTTAAAACCACCTCAGCAGTTTCAAATATGTGTTCTGAATCACTGCACCACTTGCAACTGTACGAAAAGGAAGAAAACATTCCTAGTGGGTTATAAATGCAGAAGCAGTATGGACAATATTTACCTTACAGTGAGCTGGACCTTGCTCACGCAAAAGCTTATACTCAGGCTGAATCTTGTTGAAACGGGCTAACTCATTCACAAGACACATTGGGGTTTTCTCTTTAGGGTGTGCCATGTTAGAAGGAACTGAAAAATAATGTAAGAGCATTGAAGTCAACTAGCAGTGTTTGAGACTGCGGCTCTCCAGGGATATGAAGACAGGGAAAGCAAACGCAAAGTCTAATGATTCAGAGCAACAGCGATGCAAAACTGCAAACCACACTGAGGGCAAATATCTGAAGACACAGCTGGGATCTTTTCTGAACCAGCTGAAGTCAGGTAACCTAGGAGGGGGGTGTGTCTTCAAAAGAGAGAACAGAAGTCAGAGGAATAACTAAGTCATGGCAAGCACGCAAGGTTTGAAACCAGATGAAGGACTGCGATCATAACCAAGGGAGGACCAGGAGGCCTTCTGAGCAGACACGCAGGCACTGGTTACCGCAGCAGCTGTCCGCTGGGCCCAGCTCGTTCCCTCACAAAATGCAGCACGCCAATACCATTCCTCAAGCAAGACTGTCTCTTTCTCCAAACAGCTAATGCTTCTCATTCCTGGGACATCTTCTCGTCTTATCTCCAGAGGATGCATCCTCAGACTTTACCTGTCTTTAATAATTATGTAAGTAAAATAAAATGGTCTTGGAGGGCGGGAGTTTTATAAAGTCAACAAAATGTGGATATAAGAACACATTAGAAGAAAAAGCAATTAAATCCCAGAGGACTGAACTAGTCCGTGCCATTTCCTATTAAGATGGTATTCAAATGGCAAATATGGGGAACACTGAACCTCTAGTGGACTATGACAAGTCAAGAACGCCATCTGGTGAGCTGGTCCAAGGAAGTCTAGAGGTAGCAGCATGAGAGAGTCTGTGCAGCTGAGAGTGGGACAAGCTAAAACTCTAAGAAGAGAGATACAAAGTAAAGGAAACGAGAGAATGGAAGAGGAAATGCAAGGGAAATGTCAGGCACCAAGGGCTACAAAGAGTTTATTACAAGGTGACTCTAGTATAGAGACACCTATGCTGATACCCCCTTTAATTGGCTTTGCAACTTGGGAGGAGAGGGGACATTTGGGGAGCAGAATATTGTTTTTAAGGGTTATTATTTCCCCATGGGTTGCAAGTCTTTTCCGATCCATGGATATTTTTATTCATTTTTGTTTTCCTAATATTCAAATTTGAGGGCTTCCTTTTTAAACATCTCTGCTGCTTTGTTCAATTTCTCATTGGCCCTCACTGTGATTGCTCAGCTGCCTCTGGATGGCAACTTAAACTTACTTAGTCAAAATAAAAATTAGCAAATGCCAACACATTCTCTTTTGTGTCCCCAAATCTGGCTGTCCCCTTGCTTGGGATAAATCTTACAGACCTCCAAAAAGGGCACTTACACCTACAAATCAGTTCTGGGAAATCATTTTAACAGCAGAATTTTCCCATATAACAATGAATATCCAAAGTGATATTTATTGCTCAATTTTTTTCTGCCAGCTACCAGTTTATAACAGAGTAGGCTTTATAGTTTGATTTCCAATTTTCTTCCCTACACTTTGAAATGGTCTGTAAAAGGCCTCCATCAAGCCAGTATATCATCAAGTGTGTTTTATATCTGGTATTAAGAAGTGTGGGTGGTATACTTTCTCCTGCTTCTTAAAGGTAAATGTGCAAGAGCTCCCTGTATCTGCAATCTACTTATCAGGTCAGAAAACAGGCTAAGAAAACATTTGAAACAGAAGACACTTGGATCATACGCTTACCTGCAGCTGCACTGGTGGATGTAACAGATGCAGAGGGTAAAGCAGAGTTTTGAATAGGTCTACCTGCATTTTCAGAGGGCAGAGAGCTAGCAGTAGAAGGAATACTCATCAAAGGCTGTGAGAGAAGAGACTGGTTCTTGTTCAGTATTTGGCTCCCTGAGAGAGCAGCAGATGGGTTCTGAACTTGCACTTGAACTTGAGACATGGTCACTTTCAACAAAAGTGAACAACTGCAGGTAAACAGCTTTCAGTGCAGATTAATTCAGTGCTATGAAGTCTAAAGTTCTACCTGAAAGTTATAAGGGAAAGAAAATAAAAAGATAAATTATGGAAGAGATATGTAATTGCCAATATTCAGTCAAAAACTGGTGTCACCTACTCAAGTATGAAAACAGCCCGTTTAGTCTGTAACTGTGATGTACAGTGAGACTCACTCACTTTGTGAATTCCTCTTTTCCACAGTGTTTTAAAAGGACTTACAATACCCACACACCCTGCACGTTCATTTCACAAAGAGAATCGGCAGGCTATAATGATGCTTATTGCTGAATATGAAGAATTATAAACTGTAGCCTACATTAAAAAATCAAATTAAAAACATGAAGAGGTTTTCCACTGAATATGGGATATGGTAAAGGTTTCTGGGCTCAAAATGATAAGAAACTGGAAGTAAACTGGGTTTGTAACACCATTGTTGGTGAATGTAAACACTGCTTCCATTTTCAGGCCATGTACTCAGATTGACACCTTTGGAGCTCTCCTTTAAGTTGACTGAAGAAAGAGAAGAATTCCTCACTTTTGCCATTTCTTTTTCCTTATGATGATAAAAGACCTCTTTGTTCTCCCGTGAGGTTTGTTTGAGATAGTCTCATTTATTTACAGATTCCAAACAAGAATTGTTGCACCCACAACCATGCTCATGGATCCTCAAAATAGCAAAGAACATTCTATAGTATGTTTATTATTAAAAGCAAAAGTGAAGAAGATGCAGAAGAGAGGAACAGATTTCAAGCTGACGATTTTACTAGGGTGGATTGTGGGAGGAGCAGAGAAGATTGTTGACTGTATCTTGTAAGTTCCAAAGGTATTAATTCTAAATACATTTAAATTTCTTCACACGTCAAAAATAAGGACAGTTCTGCTCATTTTCACGGCCATCATTCAAAAAGCTGAAAATGTTTAAGCAAATCAAAAGTACTCAAAAATAACCATTAAGCAACAAAGAACAGAAAAAGCCAAGCAAGGCAAAAACCAGCAAACAAATTAGAGGTTCTACTATAAAGTAATTTTTGTTACTTTAGTTTTTTTCTTAAGTCTCAAAATGATTTTTAATTAAAGCCAAACCTCTACAAACAGATGAATGACCAAAGCAGATAAGTTCCTTGAAGTCTTGGAACACTCTCCCTTGTGGAAAGCAAAGTGAAAAAGTGAAGTCGCTCGGTCGTGTCCGACTCTTTATGACCCCACGGACTGTAGCCTGCCAGGCTCCTGTGCATGGGATTTTCCAGGCCAGAATACTGGAACGGGTTGCCTTTTCCTTCTCCAGATCTTCCTGACCCAGGGATCAAATCCTGGTCTCCCGCACTGCAGGCAGACTCTTTACCATCTAAGCCTCCAAGGAAGCCCTTTGCAGAGAGCAAGAAGGACTACAAAACTCAAAACAAGGCAAAAATCAGAAACAAAAGCACCTTGGCTAAATTATGACTGGTTAATAACAGGTATAAATACTACCTTACATGACAAAATTCTCCAACATTACAGCTCTTCTCTGTTTACTTTTGAAATTAGAACAAAATAACAGAGGAGATGCACTGAAGATCTGGGTAGTGGTCTTAGTAGACAAGCTGCCAGGGTCAAGCAACAAGTCCAGAGCCTTTAAGAAGGCAGCTACGACCTTCTCTCATTTTCAATCAGTTGCCAAAATATAAATATTTCTCTCTCAATCTTCCCTTCCTGCTCTTACTCATTCTCTCCCTCTCTCTCAACTCTGTCCTGAGGGCATTTTTCCACCCTCCCCTGCAAAAAAAAAAAAAAAAAACCCACTGAGAATTGTACTCACAATTTCACAACACCAACCACACATCACAGGTCCAAACATAAGCCAAAAGCACAGTGTTTGCTCCAGAGTCTACCTGCATCCCAGAAGAAGCAACCCAACTCTGCCCTGGGCTCTTGAGAGTCTGAGACTGAATGAACTAAATTTAGAAAGGGTGGGGCCCAAAGGGATCTTTTTTGGCTAGCATTCTCTACAGCAGGCCCACTGCCAGCATTTCCAGTGACAGACATAAATTCAAAGGTTTGCTAGAAGTTGAGAAATAGAACAAACAGGATATTAATTAAGACTGCCCCAAAAATGCTAACCTCTGGTACACCTGGAAGTTATATCTTTCAAACAACTGGTTGAAATAAGTAGTTCAAAATTGCAGATAGAAAATATTTTAAACCCCAATAAGGCTCTATATTTTATAATTTTTTAGTTTGCAATATAACCAATAAAAATTCAGCACAGTACTCATTTTAAGTCATTTACTAATTTAACTTTTCTATGTGTCTTTAAGCCTGAAAAGAGAATCTAAAGAAGCACTTCTAAAGAGGCAATTCTGCTCCCTAAGGACACCTGACAATATCTGGAGATGTCATCTGGCCGTCATATCTGGGAAATGGGAGAACCTACTGGTATCCAGTAGGCAGAGGAGCAAGGGTGCTATTTCTAGCATATATATATGCATTCACAGAATAAAATCTTACTAATGTATGAAGGAGCTTATATTCTCAGAGATGAAAAGAAAACCCCCTTTTCATCTCAAAAGGCTCTGAAATATTGATGCTAATATTTTACCCAAACACATGCTCCTTCCATAATAGAAGTCAGGCAGCTACAAATAAAGCTTTTCATTACTGCCCTCTATATAGTTCAAAGAAGCATTCAGGGGAATCACAGAATTTCAGATATATTATTTCTACATAAATTAACAACCTTTTGCTCAACACTACATGATCCTGAGATTAAATCCTTAAATGAAAACTTACACTTTCCTTTACACTTGTCTTTAAGCATTGTTTTCCATCAGATAAATTTGGGACCTAAAAGATATTTAAATGCTTTATTAGAGTCTTCTTACAAAAGAACAGTATTTCACACACAGGAAAATGAGGTTGAAAAGTTTAAAACACAAAGACTGCAGTTTCCCCTGAGGCTGGAAACACTTGACTGTGAAGCCTGGGCTATGCGGTTCCCTGCCTCCTGCCTCCAGCAAAGATGAGAACCGCGCATCTCCTGGTTTTTTCCCAATTGAGGAGCTTGAGATACCAACTGAAGAAACCATTTTCATCCTATTCTCAAATCCTAAATTTATGGAATGCAAATAGAGGACTACAAAACTATGAGTGGTGAGATGACAAGAGTTTTGGGTACCTCTTTTAAAAAGATTCCTAATTCCAAGTCCCCCCAGATCCTAACTTGGGCCTGGCGACATAAAAATCTCATAAAAAACAGGCTCACCTGGCAATTTCCACTTTACAAGTGTCAAGTACTTTTTAATGGGTTGCAGTAAGGGGAATATGGGCACATGAACTATATAAAAGCATCTTGAAAAACTGTACATGATGTGCTAAAAAGTGGTCAAGCACAAAATGCACATTCCTAACTCAGCAATGAATCTACCAAAACTGGCCCATACTGAGTGCACAGCCTGAGTGACTTAACACACAAAAAGGCAGATCCTTCTAGAAAAAGTTTACAGAGCCACCTACAGTACTGCTTAGTACTAGTCCCTTTCAACTAACAGACTGCTAAATTGCTGCAGTATGAAACACCTACTTCAGCAATTATGGGAAAACATCATTTCTATTACTAATATCCATTTTTTAACAGGATTAACACATAACAATAAAGTGTCCATACTTTTGTGCAATCAACACATCATTCCCCTTTGTAATAAGTGATGTTTCCAAACAAGATGTGTTTTTTTAAAAGAAGGAAGGAAAGAAAAATAAAAAAGTCATCCCAATTCTGGACAAGCTTTTAAGATCCAAAACACTGCACTAAATATTTCCCCTTCTTGCCTTTATTATTAGGTTGGTGCTAAAGTAACTGCGATTTTGCCCTGTTGAACTTTGCTAAATTTGATACTAGAAATATATCCTTAAATGTGGTTATGTTGTATTAATATATCACTTTAATGCACATTTCTCACTTTGATTTTTGCTAATGACATTATTTACTATTTATTTTATATTTACTTTAGACTATGGAAATGATGTTACACAAACAGCAAATTCAAGCAAGTTTTTAATTCAAGTTCAAAATGAGTTGTAAAGCAGTGGAGACAACTCACAACATCAACAATGCATTTGGCCCAGGAACTGCTAATGAATGTACAATGCAGTGATGGTTCAAGAAGTTTTGCAAAGGAGATGGAGAGCCTTGAAGATGAGTATAGTGGATGGCCATCAGAAGTTGACAATGACCAACTGAGAGCAAAGCAATCATCAAAGCTGATCCTCCTACAACTACACAAGAGGTTGCAAAGAACTCAACATCTACCATCTACAGCCGTTCAGCATTTGAAGCAAATTGGAAGTGTGAAAAAACTCAGTAAGCAGGGTGCCTTGTGAGCTGACCAGAAATTAAAAAAAAAAAATCATTGTCTGAAGTGTCATCTTCTCTTGCTCTACGCCAACAACAAACCATTTCTTGATCAGATTGTGACCTGCAATGAAAAGTGGATTTTATATGACAACTGGCGACGCCCAGCTCAGTGGCTGGACTGAGAGGAAGCTCCAAAGCCAAAGCTGCAGCGAAGAAGGGTCACGGTCACTGCTAGGTGGTCTGCTGCCTGTTTGATCCACTATAGCTTTCTGAATCCTGGCAAAATCATTAGCTCTGAGAAGTATGCTCAGCAAATTGATGAGATGCACCAAAAACTGCAATGCCTGCAGCTGGTATTGGTCAACGAAAAGGGCCCAATTCTTTTCCACAACACCCAATTGCAAGTTGTACAACACTTCAAAAAGTTGAACGAATTGGGCTACAAAGTTTTGCCTCCTCCATCATATTCAACTGACCTCTCACCAAACAACTACCACTTCTTCAAGCATCTCGACAACTTTTGCAGGGAAAAAACACTTCCACAACCAGGAGGAGGCAGAAAATGCTTTCCATGAGTTCACTGAATCCTGAGGCATGGATTTTTATGCTACAGG